ATGTTTTTAACTAAATATAAAAATGGCCATGGGCCTGTCATATGCGCCTATGCATTTTTCAACATTTGTCTCAAGTATTTATGTTACAGAGTTCTTTATTGCATTCTAAATAGAGTTTACAATTACCTACCTTACAATTTTTTTTAGATTATTTGCACTTAAAAAGTTACCGCAGAGGAGAATTACAGGCATTCTGAAAACTTGGTTCATACGGCCAGAAAGTACTTACTCACATCGCTTGGACGAGAATTAATTATACGCACCACATCATAGAACGCGATAATATTTGTAATTTTTATTTTTATATCAACAATACCACCAACATCACCTTCACGCCAAATCTAATCTTAATTACCACTAAATACTGTACACAGATAGTTGGATATAATGAGACTATTACTTGTTCTTAACTACGGAATTCTTAAAACTGCTCATCTCAACTACAGATATGTGTTATTGCCTCTGTAGTTATAGTCGACTGTATGAATGGGTTCGAGTGCTAATGAAAAAATTGTGCATACGCAACTATGGGTAGAAAGACAAGGCAAATCATAGAAAAGGCGCCAAAAATTAGTGCATTTGAATTTAGAATTTTATAGGCCTACCGCTATTTAGAATTGGAATAACAATAAACCAGATTTCTCGTAACTTCTACAATTAACTGAATAAAAGCTGTACTGACATTCCAACGCCATGTTCACATGCGTATGAGCGCCTACAACTATAACACAGTTTGCTTTCATACTGCCTAGTTATATATTACTTTTCAATACTGCCTATCCGAGTCGGTTCATGAAGTAGACGCGCGGTGCGATGAAGTGACAGTTTACGTAACAGTTATGTCGCGCTGCACACGGGATAATTTCAACGAAATTTTTCTGACGATTTCAAGTTGATTGAAATGTTACATTTTGGAAGTGTGTAGGTATAGATATATTTGTTTAATTTATTTGTTTAATTTGAGCGTGTATAAATATTTTTCGGTTCCTTTGTAGATGTATAGATGTGTTTAGTTAGTTTGACCGTCCAGATTGTTTTGATAATTAGGTCATTATAAAAACAAAGTTTGGATGACACGACTACACCTTCATGCGTTTATAAAGTAGAAAGACGAGTAGTATCATTCCCTGTCTATCAAGGTTGTAACTATCCGAGTCACTATTTGAGTTAATAGTTTTTTTTAAATATAACCGCCGATATAACTCACTTACCACTTTTAACTCACTTCTAAAAAAGGTGTAGGTTCTCAATGCGTCTGTATTTTTTTCTTTTTTTCTTCGTATGTGTTACGCAATAACTACTAATTTGTGAACCGATTTTGGTGATTCTTTTTTTGTTGGAAAGAAGGCACCTCAGTAGTGGTCCCGTTTAAATTTGAAAAAAATATTTTACCTCTAAAGGTGGCAAACTAGGGGATGAATCCGGTTTCGCGCACTTTCCGGTAACCGATTTCAATAAAACTATTTCCACAAACTTTTGACGTCGGTTTTTTTAGTACTCTGTACTGAGATTAAATTTATAGGTTTTAAATCAAGATGCGGTAAACTTCTTAAAATCATGTTTAACGCCCTGCGCCCTTATTACACATAACGTTTGTAAAATAAATTGTTAAAAAGCTTTTAATTTATCTTTATTTATGATTCCAAGTGACGGGACGAACAAGTCGTCTGGTGATAAGGGACACGCCTGTCCATAACAGTTGCAGTGCTACTCAGAGCTTTAAAACTGCGCCCGTCACGCTGAGACTTAAGTTCACAAGTCCCATGTGCCCGAAATTTCATCATATCATTAAAATCATCCAATCATTCAGGTACTTTGATTGTTTGACGATTTCTGTGGTCCAACGATTTGCACTGTGGATCCTGATTCCCAGTAGGACCAATCGGAGTAAACTCTTGTTTCTCTGGTACTCATAGTACAATTCCCTAGTTTGAGAGATAATTGGTATGGTTGTTTAGCACATTTCGACTCATCCGAAGAACAAAATCCGATGTGATTAAATAGCGAAAAGAGAATAAGTTCGCGTAATGAGAATAATTTCTTTATTCAAACTAAGGCCTATGTCTTTACATAGGCCTTACAAACACCTTTGTGTTTTGAGAATTTGTATACCTTATTTCGGAAATATAAAATCGAACAACGGTCGATCTGACATCCACAGCGAAGAAGAACGAACGAAATGTACTATGTCCTGAGAACAAGTAGTCTTGCACGTAGATCTTTGTTCTACGGATGAGTCGATTTATTAATATTATTTTACATATGAAAAAACAGTTTATGTCGGACATGTCACTTACCATTGAATCCAAAATTCGTAATAACTTTTACGTCATATTTCTTATCACAGCATAATTTGAGCTGATGCCACAAATATACGCTTTCCAATAAGTAGGCCAAAGGCAGAATCATGTCACCGCGGTTCAGGAAACAATAAAAAAATAGTCCACGCCATCTGGCGGGAGAAACGCAACGTCTTAACGATATGCCATCAAACACAACACAAGTTGATATTCTCGTAAATCTATCTACTCTAGGATCATGATCTCTTGTCTATGTTTGGTGAATAATGGAAGTTATAATTATGATTTTGCCGTATTTTTAAGTTACGTACAGGTTTTTACAGACGAACTTCGCTTTGAAAAAGAAAGCGGGGCTTAAGCGGAGTCGCTTTTATAAGCCTTATGATTTCATTGACTGATCGGTCGGTGCGTTGTTGGTACGTCCCATCCCACGCAGCATTGCCACATGTTTAATTTTTTTTTATCAATAAGAATAGGCGTGAGATTTTATAGCATCTTCATGAATTTATAAGCCGTGAAATGTATCGCGACCAATTTTCGATTTATCTGAATTTGACATCTCAAAACTACAATTAACACCTGATTCCCGTGCCGGGAGAACTATTTGTGCGGCCTACATTCGGCGGACTAAAGCACATAAGTCAAAATCCGACATCATTTATTTAAAATAATACATCTGCCGACTAAAGCACATAAGTGAAATTCGTTTGTTACTTCATTTTGTAACTTTATTCTAGAGGGGCCCCTCTAGAATAAAGTTACAAATTTATGATTTATTTTTCAAATTTATCATTGTTTTCACATCTTCCAACACTATAAACAACACAAAAAATACATAAATAATTAATTATATATTAAAAAATGAACCTCTTTTTTGAATTATGTGCTTTAGTCCGCCAACCCTAGTATTTCTCTCGTGAGCAAAGTTACCTATCTGGGTGTCGAAATACTTTCATAGATTTCTCATGGATGGCGCTACGACTAAAAGTAATTAAAAACCAAATACAAAAATCCGACAAACAAGCACATGGAAAAATTTGTTAGGTCCTCTGATTCGTCCCGTGGCTTACTTAGTTGGCATAGTGTCTGGCACGGTTTGCTAGAAGACGTCGGTTCGAATCCGGCCGGGTCGAAGTAATTTTTTTAAATGTTCGTTCTTTGTGTTAATAATTATAACAAAACTATATATTACCTACTAAAAGGGATTTTTTTAATTGCAGGGCTACCCGGCGATACAAGGATACATGGCGCCGGGATACTACCAGCAGTACGCTGCTGCCTATAGCAACCCGCAGGCTGCGGCTGCAGGTGAGATGTTTGCAGATTTTCATCACATTCTCATTAATTGCAATAATTAATGATAATAGTCTCATTGCTAATTTAAATGTATTTCAGTTTCAAGCGACAACCGTACGTATATTTAATAGAAGCGGTAACTTTACTTGCATTTAGCTCTATATCGGCCAAGTTATTTTGGCCGATATAGAGCTAACTTTGTACTGTGTGCGCTCTTATCCTTGCTTCTGTGGGCCCAATACTGCTAATTTTTTTGAAACCATTGATCATTGTAATGACATTAAGATTACATTGCAAATATGATAATATTTCGCACCCCTCATTTTCGCAGTCATTTTGCCGAGTCACAATAAAATAAAAAAAAAAATAAAAAAAATGGCATAAGTGGAGTTACGTTAAAAACGTAAAAATATAACTCGCATCCTTTCCAATTCTTGTATCTAATGGAGCAATAAACATGTTTGACGTAACTACACTTATGCCATTCTTCCATGAGGGGTCCGATTTGCTATTCTGTTAAAACCTTTTTTTTTTTCCTGTTAACACCTATTTGCAATGGCGGTGGAGTCTCAGTGGAATGTTAGTGATGGTATATTCATACATACAATTACAAAATATTGATGTTGCCTTACTAAAACTGCCATGGAAATTATTATGCATATCGTAATTTTTATCTCGTTCTCATAGACTCGCCATTGAAGAGCAGAATACCAAAAAATTTCAACGGTTGAATAGCAACTTGATGGCGAGCCACTGACAGGTTCATACTGTGAACTTTTAGCAGAATACCAACTGACACACAACTGAGATGATTTGAAATTAGCACACTTGGGCCGTTACTGTTGCTACATAGCCGCGTGTGCCGAAATGTTCGGTTGACCTGCAGCTGTGTGCTTTGCTCACACTTGGTGTTGTTGCAGCGGGCTACCGCATGTCGGTGCCGGGCGGCGCAGGCGGCGCGGTGGGCGCGGGCGCGGGGTGGGGCGGCGCGCCGCAGCCGCTCATGTACTCCGCCGCCGCCATGCCCTCCGCGCAGTACCCCTCGCAGTAAACCTCAACAGTCACCAGTCAACATCGCCGACGCGTCCCGATTCCCGTTCCACCTCCGTCGTCCCGACTCGGCCGCAGAGCGAATCCCACCCTTTCGATGCTATTCCGCTTAGGTAGTCGCGCGTAGATTTAGAGGAATAGGGTGGGGCCGTGGGAGATCGTCTGCGGACTCGGCTCGCCGCTCCCGCGCGGCGTCCGCTTCGCTCGAGCGATCGTTTCGTACTTTTTTAAACAATCAGACTCTTTTCGAGAAAACCTCTTTGTAAGAAATCATGGTAGTTTTTTACCATACCGCCCCTCAATGTCTTGCTGTGGATGTTGGCTGGTGCCCTGTTGAGCGATCTGGCCGTGCGATCGCAGACCTCCGACCCGGCAGCACCGGCGAGCCTCACGGAGACGCGACTCGACAGGCCGGCGCGGCTCGACTCGCCGGTGGCCCGTCTCTCAACCCGTCAAGCGCCCGTCGAGGCGCATCTCGCGTCCGTGGCCGCCGTAGTACCGTACCGTTAACACAGACAGTGCATGGTGTCTTCAGTCGGAGCCGTCTTGGGGTGGGCTTGCCTCGCCGCGGCAATCTCGAGTCGCCGCTCTCCGGAGCCCAAATTTCGTCCTGCTGCTACTTGGTCCAGGCTTTCGAGAAGTGCAGGGACAAAGTGCCTCATCTGGAGCGGCGGTGACCCCCGGGCGGCTGTCGAGAGCGGACGCATGACGCGGGCCGCGGACCCCGGACGGTGGCCCGCGGTGCAGTTTTGATTCGTTGACACGGCGCGCTGGTTTTGTTAGCAAACCTACATAGATAGGACATAACGAAATAAATTATAAATTTTTAAAAAAGTTATAAAATATATAGGGGGAGTAGTGTCGCGAGTGGCCTCGTGTACATACGATGATATTTATTGCGCGCTGCGCTCTGGCTGACTGAAACCCACCACTCCTCGACGCGCCAGACCGTTTGACGTATTTATAATTATTAAGTTCGGCACATGTTGTTTTGTTTGACCTGAATTGTTATGATTTATTGTATGGAAACACTGGTGAGTCAATAAAGCAGTGGGTCTGGGACAACGGGTGTTTGATTTCCCGTACGGAGCCGCTGCACATTCGACCGGCACTTTTTGACGGACCTCATACGTATTCCGTTCCTTTTGTTTCTTTTTCGTTTACCTTCTGGATGTGGTCGAAAGGCGCCGAGGCAGATGTGTAGTGACGCCCGAAACGTGTACTATGTTTATTTCTGGGGTCCAAAATTTTATACAAGTCGACCAAACGGTCCACTTCTGTGATTGAAGCCTACATATAGCATTCGGATGAGAAATTTATTGTAAAGACGTAACATTATAGAGGTCATTTTGTAAAAGGAAAAATAAATAGTTTAAGTTGACTATTAATTTTGTGTTGTATTATTAGCGAAACTATTACGCGGTCCCTTCAGGTATTTTACTAAATTCTAGGTAGGTATAAACATATACCTATTCAATCACAGCTAAGTTGAAATATTGAATTATTTTTCCCTAAGATCGAGTCGCATTAAGCAGAGCCCAAGGTAAAGAAACTACTGGCAATGAAGCAGGGGAGAAACGGTAAATTCGACTCAACGGGAATATTTAACGGGGCACTACTTAACTCGAATTTAGGGAAATAATTCAAAATACCCTCGTATTTGGTAGGAAACCCTATCACAGAATAAAATTAACACAACATGGCACAACACAACGCTATGCAATATTGCTACTTTTCAAAATTTTAAATGCAAACTAATTTACTTACTGCTATAACTGTGGGAGAGATCATTATGTAGTATAAATGTATATCTTATCAATCACAGCTAATTTGAAATATTGAATTATTTTCCCCTAAGGTCGAGTCGCATTAAGCAGAGTCCAAGGTAAAGAACCTACTGGTAATGAAGCAGAGGAGAAACGATAAATTCGCCTCAACGGCAATAATTAACTGAGTACCACGTGACTCGACTTTAGGGAAATAATCCAAAACGCCCTTGAATGTGGTAGGAAAACCTATCAAAGAATAAAATTGACACAACACAGCTTAACACAATCAACGCTCTGCTATACAATATTTGAAATGCAGAATTATTTATTACTGCGGGAAAGATCATAATGTAGCGCTAACGTAAGTATGATTCAAAGAGATATAATAGTCGCAACCAAACAACAACAAAACATCCTACTTTACGAAATGCGCGTGCGCACTTCAAAGCGCCTGTGCATACTTTCCACGCAGTGACTCAACAATTCTTTGAAGAACTAAAAGGAATACGCTATTTTCATCACATTCATTCTTTAGGTGCATTCCTCTGTTGTATGATTATCCTTAACCCAATTGTGACAACACAAAACGAAGGCGTTTTGTAAAGTTCCCTAGAGAAAAATCGTTGGAGTGACGTGGAAATTGCAATGACAGTGATCCAAAAATAGCGCGGCGTGGCGGTGCGCGGCGTTCGCGGCTGAGCTGTAGTCGCGCAGCAGCCGTCGCGAGTGACAGTCGAACGATCCGCAACCATGGTTTACGAGAGTGACTTCTACACGACCCGCCGCCCCTACCGGCCGTCCAACTACAGTGTCACGGTGAGTCCAACCACCCCGCTGCCCGCTGCCCCGCTCATCCCCCGGGAGCCGGCCCTCGCACCAGCCACCACCTCTCGCCTCTCGTAATCTCTTCATCCGCGAAGAACGGCGCGTCGGCGTCGTCAAAGGTGTCTCAGTGATACGTATTTGTATCTTTTACCGGTCGGGTAATCGTTCGCTGTCTTCCCGAGTGGACTAGTACAACGTAACAATCTACACGTCCACGCCGAGTTCGCTACTGAAAATCACGTTGCTTTCTAAGTTCCAGTCGTTGCTATCTTAAGGAATCTGTCGGCTGTCTTCGTCGTTCGGCACCTAGTCCCGCAAACGGGTCATATTATATCGTTTCGAGGCGGGAACCGGAGCGTCTGAGAGCGGAGCTACCGAGCGCGCCAAATATAGCCGCGGCTGGAGAGCAGCTCGCGCGACTAACGGCGACTTCTGCGCTTGCAGCGGAAGCCGATCGGCGACTGGGAGAAGGTGCCGTTCGTGCCGCGGCCGAGTCTCGTGCCCGATCCGGTGACGGCGTTCGGGCGGCGCGCGAAGCCCGGCACGCGTTCTTCCGTGCTGGAGCCCGTCGTCAGCCAGAACATCGCGCCCATGGCCGAGGCCAAGCTGGCGCCGCTGGCGGCGTACGTGTCGCCGCGCGACCGGACCAGGTCGCGCGTGCTGGCCGCCGTGGGGCAGCGCGAGCGCGCCTTCGAGGCCGCGCCGCTGGGCACGCCGCGAGACCACATGGACGTGCTGCTGGCGCAGGCCCACGGCCGGCCCCAGCAGGCGCCGCACCGGCACGTCTTCTACAGCAACTACGCCACGTATTGAGTGCCGGCAGGGCGTCGGATTCGTGTGTCGCTTTCGCTAGTTAGCTAGTCGGTCGGGCTGGTGCGGGGGGGCCGCGGGCGACGAGAGCAGTCGATGAGTCGCCGACGGAGTTTAAGCGCGCGGTTGTTGCAGACGCCGCGCCACTACGTGGTGGTGGACCGCGAGCCGCTGCCGCGTCGCGCTGAGGAGCAGTACTCGTACTCGTACTCGAGCACGAACGAGCGCACCTCGGGCGCGGGCGGCCGCCTGCCGCAGCGCAGCTCGTACAGCAACACGGTGGAGCGGCGCAGCGCCAGCGGGCCCGGCGGCTACTCGTACACCTCCGAGCGCTCCAGCAACTTGGGCAGCGGCCCCGGCGGATACTCGTACTCGTCCACCAGCAGCGGACGCCTGCCGTACGGCACCAACTACCGCCACTATTCTTACCGCGTGTAGCCCGCGTCCGCCGGCTCCCGTCCCGTCCACTCCCGGCCCCCGTCTCCTAACCCAATCCCCGCTTGTCCTTCTAATTATTATCTAATCAGTATTCGCTATCGCAATGTGATCGCTCTACTTTAACTGTTAAACAAGTAGCAGCGAATCTTTATAGAGCTTTTATACGTTTTTAATGTGATTTAATTTATTGGAAAATGTTAGACTGAATTATTATGTGTAATAAAGCTTGCATTTTTTAATAATTCTATTTTCTTTTGTCATATTTTACACTCTACCTAGAAGTAGGTTTATCGACGATGAACTCGATATTTTGTTTACTAACAATTTTGCTTTTTTTTCTAAATTCTATGTGTCTGTCAAATTTATTCAGGGATTTTAACACTATATTAATGAATCATCGTTACTGGCAAAGTTTTGGCACAATTTGTTACACAAAAGTTTACGAGAGAAATGCGCATTATAGACGTTACGCAGCAATAAAAATAAACATGATCTGAAAATAGCGCTGTTTTATAATATGAGGCGAGACGTGACTTTCGTACATGCTGAAAGGACAGAAATATCACATTGACCTTTTTAAAAATATATAATTTACTGAATCTAAACATTTAGGGAACAATGCGCATTCATTACCTATTACACCATTGAAGTAAGAGCACTACACACTACAACCCCTAGATGAATCTGAAAATGATACCTATCCTGTTTGCATTGCCTGGTGCGGAGGCAGCCGCTGACGTCGGTGTACTACCTTTCATCAATACCGCCTTATATACCTTACTACTACCACTACAATCTTCCAAACATCACTTATATACCCAAGTTGTCACAGGTAAGTCGTCATAATCATGTGTATAAACGTAATCATGTGCAATCAATCCGTAATCACGTGTATAATAAACATTAGCTGTATATAGGCTGTATACTGGTAGATTGGTGCTTTAGCAACACAGCAAGGAATGTTTATAGCACCTTTATTGCATTCACTATGCACACAATCATATTTACTGTCCACTCAGTTCGTAATCCTTGTCACTGCATTGCATTTAAGTATAACTCGAGTACCAATTTATTGCGCTCCATACAAAGCATACTTAAAACTAAAACATGTTAAAATGGTAGGTGAAAGCAGAATATAGGTAGGTACAGTCAGTGTGAAATGTTTGTAAACAATAACAAGAATAATTAATTCTAGGTGCAATTAATATTGCTAGTTAAAAACGCGCCGGGACTTTATTGACACACATTGTTCGATTCTTGTCAAATATAAAGAAATGTTTAGGCGCGCTCTTTATAATATAATTGGACATTCTGAAATATTTTAGCCGTTTTGATAATTTTGCGTATAGCACTATTGTACTTATGAGGTTAAATTCCTGTATATTACAATAAAGTGTTAGGGTAAATTTGTGGAAGCCAAAGGGCAGTAAGGATAGAAAATCATTCTTTTTATAATCATAAAATAGGCTGTTAAAAAGATTTTATAATTATGTCCGTACTTCTCTCATTAACTGCCATTTTTTTTGTAACTCAGTAAACATGGACCTATTCAATCAATAGTTATCGTGTTGATTCTACGAGCTACGATGTACGAGGAGCTGCTGAAAAGCAATCTCTTTTGTCTGTTACCAATTAAAAAAATACACGGACCACTATTACGAGTGACGTAGTACCTATGTTCTTTTTTTTTCAAAATCAGTGACACTCTTTTGTTTAACCTTTCGTCTGGACAAAATGTCGGAAAAAAAGTAAAATGTTATAAAAATGAGCAACTTTTACTTTTTTTAACGGGTTTAGGACTCTTTCTAACAAATGAAATGAGTGTACTTGCAGGGATATTGAGAAAATAAATTAGCCATGATCGTCTTTTATTGCTTAATTACTTTTAAGCGGTCGCGTTTCGTAAAATGACAAACCGAAAATACGTTCACCTGAAAACTCAACTGTTAGCACTGGTCCAGCAAGGCTAGGTTTTTAGATATTATTTATTCTGAACACAAGTTTTTAATAGTTTTGAACATATTTAGGAATATATATTCAGTTTGTTTCGTTATTATAAAGTGTAAAAAACAGTGCGCTTGTGCCCTTACACCTCTCTTCAGAGTACGATCGTGCATGGAGTATTTGGGAGGGTTCTGTTCGATACAAGTTAACTGCTTTTGACTCAGTGGATCGAAAAGCATAGAAGCTTATAAGCAACGATTCCTTGTAGAGTTAAAGCTACAGAATCTTGAGCAAAAGTTTTCTGTCGGACATATTTCGGAGAGCGAGGGAACTTGTCAATACTGTAGGTGAGAGGTAAAAACCTTAAGTCCGTATTTTGGAATTCAGATGTTTTTCCAAACTAGAAATCACGCAATTGCTAAAGACATTAAGTACTACCTTCGTTTGGCTTTAGATTGATTTAAAAATAATTATGTGTTATTCATTATTTGATTTTTATGAAAGCTTAAAACATTCTTCTCGGTTGAAATTACGGTGTTTCATCGTCATGGGACCCAGTTATCAGCAAATGTAAACGAAATTTTATGGATCTAGCAGAAGTAGTTTGTCAATTCCAATTCGTCGGGAATAGTGCAAATGCGCGTGGGTAGTTCTGGTAAGAAGCGCGTATCTGCACTAAACCGAATTACTACAGGAAAGGGGTTTAACGTTATTACTTTGGTGTTTCAATGGCTACGACTTTCATTTTTGCACAGTAAACATTAATTTATGTTGTCTATACGGACTTATAACAATAGATTCCCGTACATCACAAACAATTGCCATGACATTTACGCGAATTTGAATTGGTCACTAAATTACCGAAATAGAAACTCATAAGCCAATGCTAGTTACGCATAATTGCGCTGTTAAAAAGTATGATTCGCTCTAGACCTTTTGGAGGGAAAAGTGTCGTTTTTTTTTTACTTTCAATTATTTTGTGAAATCTAGTTTAAATTGGAATAGGATAGTGCTATTGTGCCTTAATCGAAGATTAAAACGCGAAATTATACGAATCTCGAACTAAAATACCCGTATCGGCCCGTTCTAAGGAATCCCGAGTCAATCCAAGCACGCCGCCTCAAATTGCCTATCCTCTTTGTGGCGGCCATATTTACAGAAACCTAATTCAACGGAGACATGGCTCAAAGGACTTGTATCCAAGCCAAAATTATTACTTAAAAAAATTAATAATATAAAGTATTATAATTAGCCATTGACTTACAATTAGCAGATAATTAGGTAAATTATTGTGTAAATTAAGTCACGATTGTTTTAAACTAGAAAAATAATTATGGAGAGCTAAATACGGTTAGATAAATCAAAATTATTAATAGGTAAGAAACGGCGGGAAAACTTGCGAAACAACGTTGCTCCAATTCTTCACCTCGACCCAATTCTTAAGAATACATTCAACAAACATCTGTACTTCGTAGTAATTGTGGTTCCTCAGATTAAGTGACAAGGCAAATTAAAATATTTAAGCACAAATATTACATTGCAAGCAAGGAATTAAGAGCTTTGCCAACTGAACGCAAATGAGGATGAATATTTTTTTAAATAACTTTTTTTAAAGATATATTTGCGCAGCTTAGGTGGTGTTATTGAGACTGAATGCAGAACAGTGTAGTAAAAGAGCGTTGTAGGGTCAATGATGATTTTATTAGAATATAAAATGGAGTGCTTCGACAGTTTGATCCTGTAGATAGCACGGATGTCAGTAGATTCACGGCACAAATTTATAGCGCGAATGTAGATAAAGACGGGGAAAGGTCTACAATTTGTCATATACCATGTATCTTTCAACCCGGACACTGGCGCATTTGTCGTCAGTGGAGCAGAAGCCAAAACCTACAAAAATAGAATTGACGTAACCAGGGAAAGTCCATAAAAAGAATTAGGTTGATGCGAGTAGTGAAGGCAATAGTGGTTTGTCAAGAAAGTAGTAAGTGGAGTTCCATGGTACTTGCGCTAGTATTTGTCTCCCAAAGTACATGGTACTTTGGGAGACAAATGTAATCGTATCGTATGTTAGGTACAATAAATTTAGGGGTAATAAAATTTATTAATGAACCCGTTGACAAGACAATAACGGGTTATATTAAAATAGCCACTTTGATATATTACAAGCCACACTTGAACTACGATCTAGTGGTGTGCCAACAGGTTGATTCGCGTGCCTGACCCATTTTGAAATCGATAAAAACTATTATATTCAAGAATTGGACACTTCTGGATGTGGACATTTTCAGAATGGTCGTTTTCAGATATCATTATTCGAGTGTGTAGTATATCGTAAACTATTAGATAGGTAATGTGCACTGCACGATTTGTTTCTAATTCCGTTCTTTTGTATGGAATGACATATCAAAGTTGACGCTTTGGACATTGTGGGTTCTTATATCGCAAACGGCATACATACAGTTTGTATTTGACCATTTGACCCTTTTTTTTATGACGAAATCCTCCCGTTAAAACCCTACGGTGTCCTTCTCGGGTGCTCTAGTGGGAGGGATCCGGGATCGACCAGCACCTGGGAGAAGCTACGTCCTCACTCTCCCCTACCCTACGACGAAGCAGGCCACAACACCTCGTTGCGTCATCCTCCTCGCGGCTGCCCAACTTATTGGCGAACGGGGCATCCGCTCCAATCGCCCACAGCTACGAAGGAGGTACGCCGCCGCGTCTACGAGTTGGATCGGCCCTCTCCTGATCGCGCTCGGTGACCTACTTCTGGACCTTGTGTTTGACCCTATACCACCACTATATTTTGTTTGTTGTTTTAGGGAGTCACCATACTTATCGACGCACAATCGGCCTGAGCTGATTTGAAAAAGCTTATATTCTGCAATATGAGCGAAAAAGACTGTGCGTTTCGGTTCGACAATTCGAGTCATAATATTCACGATACACTTTCAATTTCCAGACCGACCCCGTCGTCGATAAGTTTCGGAGCTCTGCTCACTGAATGCGGTATCTAACTCTTTTCTAGTATTATACTAAGTAAGTTTCAAAATGGCCATCGTAAAGATAAACGATTTCCTGCGAAAAAATATTGGAAAATTATAATCAAATCAAATCATTTATTTCTTTGTGATACACAGGTTATAAAGTTGTTCCAAGAATGAATTTTGAATCACTGTGATCCGCCTTATGGCATACAAAGTTTTCTTAGTTTTAAAACATAATAACAATAGTAAAATAATCAATAACAAATTTAACAATATGAAATGTAAATTTTATAAGAAATCTTCAATATTATAGAATGTCCAATCATTTAGGTAATTAAATAATAATTTCTTAAATTATGCACAATCGTTGCAATTCCAAATTTCAAGTGGAAGTTTGTTATAAACCTTCGTAGCCATTACTATTACACTCTTTTGAAGTAGAGCAGTTTTACATGATCTACTTTTCAGTTCATGAGAACGGCGGGCTCGTGTGACGAATTCAAATAAATGAAGATGACGCTTTACGTAAAGTGAAATTTCAAATATATATAAGCATGGTAGAGTCAGTATTTCAAATTTTTAAAATGCGGTTGACAGCTATCTGTTTTTTTCAAGCCGCATATAGCCCGAATACATCTCTTTTGGGCTTTGAATATGCGTTCAATGCGTTATATGATTATATGATTTGGCAGCATAGCCAATTAAAAAAAAATTAGTACTAATAAAAGTGATTACATTTTTATTAACCTGGCGAGGTTACCTACCGCACCGCAAGTATGGAATACCTTTTTCCTGAACAGAGCAGGATAGTGGAGATTTAATGAATGTATTTTTTATGAAATATACAAAGTTTGAAGATTTCCACGCGAGTAAGTATGCAACTTCTTCAAGAGCACGA